GATTTACTTGTCTCCACTTCAGACAAACACCTCTACGTTGTTGAACTTACCGTAGGCTTTGAATCAAACCTCACAAACAATGTTAACCGCAAGAAAGCTAAATATAAGAACCTAATTAGAGAACTGGATCAAAACTTTACATCTGTAAAATTTATAAATCTTTCTGTCAGTTCGCTAGGGGTGTTTGACAAAGAATGTCATACATTCGTAAAAATGCTAAATGAGTTCGGACTGGATAATCAACACTAACAATATTGTATCAGAAAAATTATATCTATTGCCATCCGATCAACGTACTACATATTTTGCTGTAGAAATAAAGAATGGAGAAATCCCGAACTAATGAACATTTAAAGTAACTATTTCTATAAATAATTAACAATTTTTGTATATAAAATTATAACCATGCATGTATAAGTGATTCAAGTAGTCAATTGTAGGTTACCTCAAGAAGTGAGATTTACAATTGTATATATCTATAAATATTCTATTAATAAAGTTTTCATTATTATTATTATTATTATCGTTATTTGTCTCAGAGGGACTAGAGCACCCAGGAGGATAACTACGAACGTTCAAGAAACGGACTTCGAAGTAGACAATTCTCGTGCCAAAATTTAGGCTTAGACTTTTACCATAAATTCTTATTATAACATAGACTTTTACCATAAATTCTTAATATAACATATACTATAACATACTACAACAATTTAGACTCACTTCCTTATATATACTAGTAATTAGTTATTAATGTAGTAGGATTATTTTATAAATAAATTATTATTATTATTATATTATTATTATTATAATTATTATTATTATTATCATATGTGTTCGAGGATCACGTTCATTGAGGAAGAAACTAACTTTTGACGCTGGGAACATTGAATTGAAATTGCTTCAGTCACAACCATGCTGACAACATACTAACAATCTTAGTAAAACTTCAAAACTTTTTGACATTTAACAGTTAAAAAAAAGAAAGTTAATTTTGTAAATATCATGTTAAAACTTGTTAATTTAATAAATATTTTATATTTTGAGCATTAAAACAAAAATTTAGCTCTTGCTCAGCAGTTCGTTCTTGCATATAATTAGGTTCGTTCTCAACTTGAAGCTCGGTGTTTTGCCGACTTTTATTCATATTCTCTTGAAGTTTTGCAATAACTTCGGTTATATGAACAAGTGAATCGGATAGAGCTTGTATGGCTTCTGTGTTAATAGTCTGACCGGACTTAGGTTTCTCAATATTTGAACAAATGGCGTTACTTTTGCAGACACGACTTTGTGAAGTGTCCTGATCGGTCTCGCATGAGTTAGCTGAGTCATTTACAACAACAACTTCATTAACAAAGTCGTTTACAACGACACCCTCGGTAAAAATTTGACACATCTTGAAGCAATTAAGTTGTGTTATTTTGCCCGCCACTACGCCTTCAAGGTGTAGTAGATTCTTGTTCTTTCTCCACGAGATTAAGATGTTGTTCGATTTAAATACCTTCTTGTCGCCGCCCGGCTGCTTACAAATACCGTCTATAGGTTTAGATCTTTACCTAGGCAACACTTTAAGGATTTGTAGTCATCATTCCAAGCGGAGCATAGATTGTGAATTGTTGATATCGTATTTATAATCATATATCAATAAACAGTAAAAAGCAATCATGAAAATTTCAAGTAACAGCTACAGAAAGCACTACACGTCACGGTTTACGTTAAAACCCGGCTGCCGAATAAAAATGCACACAAAAGAATCAAAATGTTTTTTAGTCCGTGTGTTGTAACCTCAAAAATTGCCTAGAAAACAATTTTCATTAAGCATGTTTTAGATCTGAAATACTTTTGCGGGAACTAACACTTTCGAACACGCTGAGTTCAAATCCGAAAAGTTCCCACTCCGTAGACCCGCAGTTTTTTTTCAAAATGCTATTTTATCTTCACTAATTTTACAGCAAAATTTTTCATTGTTCAACGGCACGGATCGATGACGATGCACGATTATGTGACTCAAAAGGACCAATTTCTATTAACCATTCTTCCTTTGAACAAAAGACCGGTTTTGCTCGAATCATTTTGAGTTATGTAATCTTATGCGTGTTGGACGTAAACAAAATATCTTGTCTACAACTTTGAGAAGATACAGATAATTCCTTCTAATATCCTTAGTTCTGGATCTAGCTCTATAAAATCACAAGAACGTTAATGTGAAGTCTTTGGGCTATGTCTCTGGGCTAAGAAATAATTCCTTACATGCATGCGAATCAAAATGTTTTATACAAAGATATAAAACCGTAATCAATATGTAATGGATCAGCATTGAAATGTTTCCGAGACGTAATTCAAGATTAACTTATCATTACATTTGAACTATTACATCAGTTGGTGTTATGCTGTGCGATATGCAAATATTATTGGAAAGAGAGCTTCTATATACGTTGTAATCACCAAATAAACAGCTCATGCACACATTTCTCCACTTCGTCGTAAGTTTACAAAGCAGATTTTATGCTTTGGCATTGATATTTGTCTTTGATGTGCACATTTATTCTTCTAGTTTAAGATTATTTGAGAGTGATCCTGTCGTAAGTCTTCCACCAGCAACCCATCGACAATATTTAATTTTAGTGTCGTTTTTGCCGTTCCGATGGCTTCGAGTTACTTTTGTTTTAAATACCTTGATCGAGATAAAAGAGTTATTTCTCAGCCCAGAGACATAGCCAAAAGACTTAGCATTAACGTCCTTGTGACTTTATTAAGATAAAGCCAGAACTGAGGATTTTAGAAAGCTTTGTCTGTACCTTCCCAAAGTTGTAAACAAGATATGTTGTTAATTACGTCCAACAGGCATAAGATTGCATAACTCAAAATGATTCGAGCAAAACCAATCTTTTGTCAAAAGGAAGAATGGTTAATAGGAATTAGTCCTTTTGAGTGACATAATCGTGTATCGTCATCGATCCGTATCGTTGAACAATGAAAAAAATTGTTGTGATGCTAGTGAAGATAAAATAGCATTTTGTGAAAAAACTGCGAGTCTACGGAGTGGGAATTTTCGGATTTGAACTCAGCATGTTCTAAAGCGTTAGTTTCCGTTAAAATATTTCAGATCTAAGACATGCTTAATGAAGTGAACGATATCGGGTCACAACACGCGGACTAGTTAAAATCTTTAAAATATAGGAAAATAAAGAGGCAAACTATTTCCATCATCTAGTATACATAGACAAAAGTTCAGATTAAAATTTAAAATTGAATTGAAAAACTCGATTAAAGAGGCTCAAAAAGGCGAAAAACAAGCTCGGCCAAAATCTTGACATTTTAACGAAAAAACTCTTATAAGATAATAGCTAAATAGATGAACTCGTTTTTTACCGTACGTGCATGGCAGTAGTTTCCAAGAGTCCTTGTTTGTGTGTAATCGAGAACCGAAATTAGGCCATTTTGGTAAGCCTTTTCCCATTGACTCTCGCGCCCTTCTGCGCTTGTTGCTACTAGTAGGCTGTCACTAATAGTAGGCTGTCACTAATAATCTACACTCATATATTTATCAGTTTATATATCCTAAATTCCAGCAGATTCGTGGCTCTCTGTTTGTATAATTAGTTTTCTTCGTCTAATTATTCCTCCATCTTTCGCTTTTGGATATAAACCATCCTTCATGCCTGGTATATTTTTTTGTTATCTGCATCCTTCATTAAAATCAAAATCTTCTGCTCCAACTTGCTCAGAAAATATTCAGTCTTTCATAACTGGAGTTTAGCTTCTCTTTGACATGTAAAATCGTCAAGCTGTACCCTCAGTAAAATACTTATTTAATAACTGGCTGACTATTACAGTAGTCATAAGTTAATAAATGAATACATGCAAGAATTACAAATTAACTGCCCTCATTCCAACCATTGGTGATGACTCATCCAATAAAAACTTAACAGAATAGTACGATGATAATAGAAAAGTGTGAAAATGCCAACCTTAGCTGTTACCTAACTTTCTGTATGCGATAAGAGAGTTAGATTACATTAATTTTACAATCAGGTACTCGGTTTATCGCCTCAATATACTCTCTGACTGGTTTATGATTTTGACGTTTAATTTTAAAAAATTCCAATGGCCAACATACATTCTACGTACTGGAGAAAATATTCCCCCACCTCTTGCCATAAAGTCTCCATAGCCCCCAATTTTAGTATTTGGTCCATCCAAAGTCCTGAGAGTCTTGCACAGCACCAATTGGATAATGAAATATGGCACACTTTGTTATTTTTCTCTGTCCAACACATAGGAATAATAGATATCTTTTATTTCTACGGTCCAACATCAGACAATTTTACTTGTCAAGGGTAAGGTTAAGTGAATAATAAAAAGTGGCTGGATATGATATACTTGCTTCATATAACTGGACTTTGGTTGTGAGCAAAATGTAAAAAGACAATTACCAGTAATCAGTATTAACTTACTACATCCCTATTATTTACCTTAGTTGCGACCTTGAGCAGTTGTGCTGTTACTAATACACCAGAATGTGGTTTCAAATGACAGTTATTTTATGGAATGATATTCCAGTAAGACATTTGTCGTTTGTTTCTGATTTAGTATCAGATCGAAAAGGTGGTTGCAAGCGTTCAGATCCTGGAGTGCTGTGAAATGGCCTTAACCTTGGGCAATTAATAATATGAGTGGTGTGATAGGAATTTTTTTATTTATTGTGATTGACTATAAATAAATTAAGAATGGTAAGAATAATGATGATGATGCTAGTGAAGTACAAGTTGCAATGATACTGGTGATGCACAAGTTGTAACGATACTGCTGATAATAAAAATATATTGTGCATACCAATTGTAATGAGACATAAATAATAAAGAGATTGACAGTAATGAATGTGTATGACTTGATCAATTGTGCTGGTGAGAAGACAGAACCTGCATGGGTGCATTCTTGTATATTGTGTGATATTGTCATGGTCTGGGTGAATGCCAATATATTGCCACCTAGATGAAGTCCCATGCCATTTTGTGTTCACAACTAAGGTTATGTTCTCATCAGCTCCAATCATAACTGGGAAAGTTCGTTTCAATCCCACTAGCTGGTCTTGAAACTATGTGCACACATATAAATATTTATTTCCCCCCCTCATGAATTATATTGTTTGCACACAAAAAATCTGGTGATTATTTCATCTAGAAACAGCCAGTGAATGTTTGTTTGAATTTGGTATGTTCACTCTGTGACAAGTGAAAGTGCCATATAATTCATGCATAATACGGTGATCTTTTGTTTCGGGAAGTAAAAAAGGAAATTTACTACTGATAAAATTCAGTGTAACCATATTTATTAAGCCTCTGTGTCTTTCTGTTAAGCCCAGCAACCTCCTCAATACAAATAAAACTCTGCATAGTAGATAGGACTGAATAGGTTTTTAATTTCCCTAAGAAATTACTGACATAAATTACAGAGTGACATTACTGATAAAGGTATGATGCATCAAAACACCGAATATTAGTCCTAATTTTCTAGACCAGTTGTGAATAAAAATACTTCAATTAAACTCAAAAGAATTTTTATGGGAAAGAAGTAATTATAGTATTCTCAGTGAGTGGAATAATTGACCATCACTATGGAAATTATGAGCCAAAGATATTTGAAAACACAATATGATATGTCAATCTCGGTGCTCAACTATCGGTGTATTATTTGTAAAAAGGGTAGCAGTCACAATGGTAACAATAACATTTGTGTGGTTAATCTGGTTGAAGCAGAGAATTTAATCTCCTGATACAAGGCATGTTTTCTTGGGGTTGTAGCAAAGGTCTTTAATTAATGAATTCTAAGATAGCCCAGTTGCTGATGTTGCCAATTGTATTGAACCAAAGCTACAGTATTAGACAGGGTACAATTACACCTTTTCCAAGATATTTATTATATACTATGAGACACAACTGACAAATGAAGTATTTCAGAAAAATATTTACCCTAAAATTATTAGTGACTTGTTGCCGAGACTAAAATTATCAAATTTCATAAATCATGAACCAATGTAACTGCAAATGTAAACAAATAGGTGAACGCACACCCAGTACAGACTGTTATTTGCCTTTAGACTCCCAAGTCTGGTTTTTGCTCCATTATTTTATATATCGGATTCCTAATAAATTTGTTACTTTATACATGTTCTTCATTCTATTATTTTTCATATTTCAAGATCACTGGGTATTATTTCTCATGATTGGTAACCCCCCCCCCCCCCATTACCCCCTTTTTCCAGACAATCAGAAATAAACATCCCAAAAAATAAATATGAAATTAACTCGCACACAAAGGTTTCAACATACTGTGTATAATTTCATTCACAACAGTATTTTAAACTACATACATAAAGAAACCAACCTGCCACTG